GAGCACAGTCAGTGCTCAGCAAACAGTGGCCAAAAACCAGCCTCATGGTGAAATACAAAAGGCAAGGACCTTGGAAGGATTTGTGCAAACGTTCTTCAGCACATAAGAGTTTTGGAAATGCATCCTCCCTGTTTGGTGTTAAAAGGTTCCTTTTCTGAAATTATGATGATAGTTATTTATTGTATGTCTTAGCCTCTCTCAACAAAATAAAAAAATTTGGCTGTCCTCTGTCAGTCCCCAAATGATCTCTGATACTTGACAAGCCCATGAAATTCAAATCTAGAAACAAGACATTTGTTAAAATCCCAGTAGTCCAAAAGTTCTGAGACCCAGAGAGGCAAACTAACCACCAAAGCCCATCTCATGGTTCCTTGCATCTGAGAACTGCACTGCCCTCAGGAGTTATGGAGCCCTTCTGGGCAGCTCTTCTGCCCTCCCCCAGATGCCCACCTGTCACCACACAGAACTCCCTCAAGTGCCCAGACTCCTTCCATCCATCCACCATCCACCCATCCATCCAGCAACCCATCATCCGTCCACCCACCTACCCATCCATCCACCATGCATGAACCCATTATCCATCCATCCACCCACTCATCCATCCATCCATCAACCCATCATCCACCATCTACTCATCCATCCGCCATCTATCAACCCATCATCCATCCATCCAACTATCCACCCAGTCATCTAGCCAGACACCATCCATCATCCATCCATCCCAGGCCTGCCCCAGAGCTCATGTTGACAAGGCTTGCTGTGTGTCCTTGTACCCCCCAGTCTTTCCTTCATGACCTATAAGCTCCCAAAGCCAGGTGGTTCAGCACAGCCAAGGCAAAGAAACTGACTTACAATGCAGAGCCTCCCACTGGAGACAGGGAAGGCTTCTCCTGGTTCATTCTCCTTCCCAGGACAGGGATTGCCTCCTCCTGACAGGGGGTCATCCAGCCCCTCCTTATTTCCAACCAGGAAAGGAAACTGCTTCAACTTTAGAAAGCCTGGGCTGCTAGAAATTGCATCAAATTGAGCAGCAATCCCCTTTCTTAAACATTTCTTATCATGGTTCTTGAGAGTGGGTACCTTGCTTCTTACTCATCTCATACTTATCTCATACTTATCTTACTCATCCCAGGTCTGAGCCTAGTGCCTGGCTCATTATGGACTCTCAGACCCTGAATGGATAGATGAAAGATGCACGGATGGATGAATGAGTTGGTGGATGGATGATGGATAGATGGATGGTGAATGGATAGATAATGATTGAATGGATAGATGGTGGATGGATGGATGAATGGGTGGGTGGATGATGGATGGATGGATGGTAGATGAATGAATAGATAATGATTGAATGGATAGATGGTGGATGGATGGATGAATGAGTGGGTGGATGGATGATGGATGGATGGTAGATGAATGGATAGATAATGATTGAATGGATAGATGGTGGATGGATGAATGGGTGGGTGGATGGATGGTAGATGAATGGATAGATATTGGTTGAATGGATAGATGGTGGATGGATGGATGAATGGGTGGGTGGATAGATGATGGATGGATGGATGTAGATGAATGGATAGATATTGGTTGAATGGATAGATGGTGGATGGATGGATGAATGGGTAGGTGGATGAATGAATACAAGGAAGGAAGAAAACGTAGATAATTAAGACTTTGCAAGAGCTCAGTAAACAACTGCTAAATGAGACCACAGCAAGTTTCTGGGGAAGACAGTTTTCCCAGGTGGAAGATACTTCCCCTACAGAACAATTTTGTTATGTGATTTCCTTTCTTCTTCCTTTCCCCACACCTGATCACAGTGTTAGAATAAGAGTCTTGGGCCTGACCAGGGCATCCACAGTCCGCCCCAGGCAATTTGGCCAAATTGGCAGCATTTATCTCTAAGCATCCCACCTTACTGCTGACCAAGAAGATTCCCTTGCCTTCTGGGGTGGCTGGTGCTTCCCACGGGCAGGACGCCTCCCTTCCAGCTCCGTCCCTAGCTGCCTCTGTTGTGTCAACAAAAGCAGAAACCTCTGACAAAGGCGTTGTTTGTGGCAGAGAACTTGGCTGTGATTGAGGCTGGCTGCCAGGACGCCAGACCCTGGGTGTGAGTCCTGCCTGTGCCTTCCCCACTGGGACCTCAGAGGAGCCCCAGCCCCGGCTCCTCCGTCGAGAGAGATGAGTGACTCTTGGGCAGCAGGTCACAACCTGCTTGTTTCAAACCCCTGCGGAAATCTGACAAAAGCAATGGATTCTCTCTGGAAAGATGCACACGGCTCCCAGTCATACCCTATCGTTTGTGCTCATGATTTCGGGGGGTAATGAACCCCCTAAAACCTGCCCGTGGAGCCCTGGGTAGAATCCATCCTACTGGCAGTAAAGCGTCCTGCTGCCGTGGGGTGGCACCTGGCCACTCTGGGGGTCTTTCCCCAAGTTTGTCTCAGGGCATTATTTAACTTTTTATTCGGGAATAATTTTAGACTTACGGAAACGTTGCCACGATGCTGCTGGGCCCTTCTCCCGGCCTCCCACCTGCTGACGCGGTACCTAGCCGCACCACGTCGATCCAGACTAACCGTGCATTCTATCACCTAACTCCAGACTTGACTCCACTCGTGTTTCTACCCGTATCCCGTTTCTGTCCCAGAATCCCATCCCCGTCCGTCTTTGCTCTTGGTCGCTGTTTGCCTCGGGCACTTCTGGCCTTGTCTGGTCCCTCGTGCCCCTGAGACCTCTGAGAAACGTGAGCAGGCATTGTGTAGATGGCCCTCAATCCGAGTGGGTCCGCCATCTCCCGGCTAGATGCAGGCCGTGCGTTTTTGGCAAGAACATCTCGAAGGCAGCGTGTGTCCTTTGTGGAACCAGAGGCCACCATGGCTGTGCCATGCCAGGGGTGAGCCGCCATCCCTAGGTTAAGGCGCTGTCGTCCAGGTCTGTCCGGTGCGCAGTCGGGTTCCCTCGGTAACTGACTGATTTCTCAGGGACCTGCTTGGGGACCTGGCGGCTGCCGCCTGGAAACAGACTCCGCCGGACACGCGAGCCCCCGGTTCCCGGCCCGCGTCTCCGGCCCGTGGCGGCGGCTTTCCGGCCCGGCGATCTGAGCCTCTCCGTGGAGACTTCTTGCCATCTGGCAGAAGGGGAAACTGAGGCCCAACAGGGAGGGAGGACGGCCCAGCTGGCTGGTGACAGAGCTCTTTTCTCTCCAGCGGAAGCCCGGAGCGCTACCGCCCTTGCCCGCGAGTGTCCGGCAGCCCGGGCTGTTGCCGGAGTGCTGATGAGCGGAGATCCCAAGCCCTTGTCCCGCGCAGGGCGTCAGGCAGGAGAGCCCTGGCTCCAGGCTCTGGCTGTCCCCTCATCTCTCAGGGTGGCCCTGGGGGCAGACTCCTGTAGGAGCCAGGTGGCTCTGGCGGGAGAGCAGTGTGAGCCGCGGTAGGGTGTTCAGGGTTCGGGGTGCCCGGCCTTGAGAGGGGCCTCGGAGGACGGCCCGGCCCGCTGGGAGAGGGTGCGCAGGCAGGCAAGGAAGGCCGAGGGCCGAGTGCCGCGGGTTCCGGAGCGCTCAGGACACCCCCAGCCCCGGGCAGGCTGTGGGGCCCGAGGGGGCCAGGAGCTGGGCCCATCCCCAAAGAGCAGACAAGGGCGGGAGAAGGGGGAGGCGTGCGTGCGTGCGTGCGAGCGTTCGGTCCAGCAAAAGGCCCCTCCAGGCCTGTTTGCACACCGAACAGTTGTGTTAGGAAAGGAAACTGGGCCGGGGGAGGGGGCTTCAAGCGTCAGAGAAGTGGGGGGACGGCTGCTTGGCAGACAGTGGGGGCTCTGCTCACCTGTGTCAGATGGATGGCGAGTCCTCCCCCTCATCCTCCCGCCCACCCGCAGCAGACCGTCCCTCGATGGGTGCAGCAGCGTTTGCACACACCCAGGAGAGGCGGGGTGCATTATCCATCCTGTCCCAAGAAGCCCAGACTGCCCTGCAGGCCCAAGCTCCAGGCTGGGGCACTTCCTGGGCACGTGGGACTGGCACTGAGGAAGGCGGGTGCTGGAGGTCCCTGTCTTGGGAAGATCCCAGAGGAGTCCGAACCAAAGGAGGTGCCACCTCACACCCACTGGGACAGCCAGAATCGAGAAGCTGGGGAGTAGCAAGTGTTGGCAAGGACGTGGAGACATCAGGACCCTGGGCTGTGCCTGGTGCTCGGGGTGGAGGAGGGGAGCGGCCTGGGCCACCGCACAGGTGGCAGTGTGTGGGTGTCAGGAGGAGGTGGCTCTCTTTTGTCTGATTTTTGCTGCCTTTTTTTAAGTCAGTGTGACAACTTGAGGTCCATGTGCTGTTTTTCTTGTTATTGTTAAATCGAATGCCTGAAAGACATGCTGCCTGACAGACATCCGCCTGTCGATGGGCATCTGAGTGCCTCCCGTTTGGAGCTCTCATGAGCATTTGTTTCCGAGTCTTTCTGTGGATGTGGGTTTCCTCCGGGGGAAACCCAGGGGGTGACGGCTGCTGTATGTTTAACTTTTGAGGAAGCTGCCTCCCAAGGGGACCACGCCTTTGCCCACGCAGCCACGGGCAAGGGGCCCGGTTTCTCTGCGTCCTTGCCAGCAGCTGCCGCTCTCTGACACCGGGACTCCAGCCGTCCTGGTGGGTGTGCGCGACAGCTCCTTGGGTTTTGATTTGCATTGCCCCGTGAAGACTGAGGTCAAGCATCTTTCCAGGTGCACATTGGCCCTCTGTGTACTTGTTCTTTTTTGAGACGGGGTCTTGCTGTCACCCCGGGCTGGAGCGCAGTGGCATCATCGTAGCTCACTGCAGCCTCACACTCCTGGCCTCAAGCGATCCTCCCTGCCTCGGCCTCCCAAAGTGCTAGGACTATGGGCCTGAGCCACCGTGTCCGGCCGACTTTCTTCAGGGAAGTTCTCCGTCTCCTCACCTGCCTGCTCAGGGACACCCGCCCTGCCCCCAGCAGCCGCCAGAGCCCAGCCGTGCTAACCCCGCGTCTCTCCCCTCTCCACAGCCACCCGGGAGTCAGCCTTCGTCCATGCCATCGCCTCAGCTGGTGTGGCCTTCGCGGTGACACGCTCGTGTGCCGAGGGCGCGGCCGCCATCTGCGGCTGCAGCAGCCGCCATCAGGGCTCACCGGGCGAGGGCTGGAAGTGGGGCGGCTGCAGCGAGGACATCGAGTTTGGCGGGATGGTGTCTCGGGAGTTCGCAGATGCCCGGGAGAACCGGCCAGATGCCCGCTCTGCCATGAACCGCCACAACAACGAGGCCGGACGCCAGGTAGGTCCGCGGCCGGTGCCTTGCTAGGGGGACGGCAGCCGGGAAGGAAGGAGAGGGAAGAGGACTGGCCTGCGGGGGCCGTTGCGCGGTCCGGGAGGGAGGCGTCAGGATGACTGCAGAAATCTCGACAAGTTCTGCAATGAGGAAATGCACGTGTGCATTTGACCAGATGCACATGACCAGACGCCAAGGGTGGCCGGCAGGTATCTAGGTGGGGACAGGCCGGGAGAGGCCCCCCCAGGCAGCCCAGGGGGGAAAGGCTGAAAGTGGTTTAGTCTGGGCAGAATATGGATGCAGAGGGAGAAAGAAGGTTTTGATGTGGCGAGACGGGCAGGGACCAACCAGTGAAGGACATCGTGACCCTTGTGTCTCAGTCTGTGCTGCTATAACAAACTACCTTAGACCGGATAATCCATGTATCAGCAATGGAAGCTGATTGCTCACAGTTCTGGGGGCTGGAAGTCCAAGATCAAGGCACGGCAGACGCCTGGACTCCTGGTTCACACATGGCGCCTCCTTGCCGTGTCCTCGCATGGCGGACGGGGTGAGGTTCTCCCTGGGGTCCCTGTTATAAGCCAACAATCCTATTTATGAGGTCTCCACTCTCATGACCTCATCACCTCCCAAAGACCCCACCTCCTAATCCCATCATGTTGAAGGTGAGGACTGCACCCTATGAATTTTGGGGGGACACAAACATTCAGACCGTAACAGCCTGTTAGAAAGGACTTGGTTGGAAGGTCAGTGGGGGACCAAGAGGGAGACGAGTGCTGACGGGCAGGGAGGGCGTAAGGACCCAGTGGCGTGCGGCGGATGTGTCATCACAGCAATGGCGGCCGGCCTCGGCCAGTGGAATCCCGAGACTACAGAGTGCTGAAGCGTGACCAGGGCACATTTACCTTCCAACAACAAGGGACTAGAGAGCTTGGACTAGTCTTCCTGCTGAAGATAACTGCAAATGCAGGATGAAATATAAAAAGCACCCTGCTAAAATGTATAATAGAATCTCCACGCGTGCACAGTCGCCCGATTCACGACGGGGGTACCGTGCGGTGCAGCGGGGGAGCGGGCTCGTCAGTAGTTGGCATGCAGTCAGTCAGATAGTGCCACGGCTTGAACGGATCCCCAGAAACTCCCGTGTTGGAAACTTGATCCCCAGCGCAACAGCGTTGGGAGGTATTTAGGTCAGGAGGGCTTTGCTGCCGTCAATGGGTTGATGCTGCTATAAAACGCTTGGGGAGTGGGTCTCTCCCCCCCGCCACACCCCACCATGGGAGGATGTGGCGTTCCTTCCCTCTGGGACTTACTGTGCAAGGCATCATCTTGGAAGCAGAGAAACCAGGCCCTAACCTGCCACCACGTTGATCTTGAACTGTGAGAGAATAAATTTACGAATTACCCAGTCGCAGGTATTCTTTACAGCAGCACAGAACAGACTGCGACAGATAGCAGCGCGGGAAAAAACCCACCTAGACCTCCCTACCTCGCACCGTCTGTAAAAATCCATTCCACTCCAAATGGGAAACGCGAAATAATAAAACTTTTACAGGAAAACGTAGGAGAATATCTTTTTGACTTTGGAGGAGGCAAAGATGTCTTGAACGGGCAAAACAATAAAAAAAAGCCTTCGCAGTGAAAGGAAAGCAGGTGGATATGGACTGTATTCAAATTAAGAACTCTAATTAATGAAAAGACACTAGCGTGGCGCTGAAAAGGCAACAGTATGGGAGAGCACGTTCACACACATCTATCCAACGAATACATAGAAGCTGTAATATAAAAAGAACCGCACAAATTGAGAAGAAAAAGATAGACAACCCAATAGAAAAATTGGCTAAAAAATTGAAAGCCACTTCATGAAAGAAAATATAGAAATGGGCATAATATTGTGGCTCAATATTATGAGTCATCAAGAAAATGCCGTTAGAATCCACGCCCTGCAGAGGGAGAGGGGAGGGTGGGATGAGGAGCTGGTGCTCTGGGGCAGATCATCTGTGATATGTCGCATGCTTGCACTTTGGACATATGTATTGTTTGGTGCATATGTTATACCTCTGTAGGATGATTTTTAAGTGCGAAATAACTCTCACTGTCTAGTGAAGAATTAGCAGCCCCTAATCCAGCAGAAGACAGGATGCTGAGCCCGGTGCCTGGGGCAGCTTTTGTCCAGGGGCCGTTTGCTGGTCTGGAAGAGATGGCAGAGGTTGACCTACGATTCTGGCAGAGTCACAGAGCTAAGAGGCCCACCATGGGCGTGACTTCCGCTAAATCTCTCCCCAGGGCGAGCTGGAACCCTGGGGAGTGAAAGAACTGAAGCAGCCAGCCCTCGTGCACACTTGCAGGCTAGAAACGTCTCAAGACCTGAGCTTGGATTCAGGTGATCCCAACTTGCAGGTGTCCCCATGCGCCCGGAACACGCAGACACAATCCTCTTTGGGGGAGGATGTAACCTTTTCCTAGGCCTGAACACTTTTCTACAGGAATTTTGCAAACACAATGTCCAGCACACAGTCAAAGATAACCTCTCACATGATCTGACGACACAAGGAATTTTAATGAGCAAAACAACAGAAACAAACCCATACGGATTCCAGATACTAGAATTATTAGGCACAGATTATCAGGGGGAAAGGCTTACTTGTGTTCACAAAGCTAAAATGCAAATGTGAACATTTCAACAGGGAACTGGAAACTATTAAAAGAAGAATATAATAGATTTGGAAAAGAATACTATAAAAATTGCAGAACTGCAGGATGAGCGGGGACTTCCCGTTAGAGATGACAGGCTGGACATAGACATCTCCCTCTGCACCCTCCTGGAGACCCACTAGAATGACAATGAATTAATTTTTAAATAAGTACATATATAGAGATAGGCAGACATAAGCAGAGAGAGAGATGAATGGGTCTATAGACAGTAGAGACAGGTGATGGCTACATACAGGATAGATTCGATACAGATGGAAGAGATAGACAATGGGGGGGTGGATGATATTAGCAGACAGACGAGGGACGGGTGGAGGAAGTGGTGATGGATAGACAGATACACATGAGAATATGGAAAACAGGAAAGGAGAGGATGGTAACTCTGAAAGCTAAAAAGCAGAGAGATGAATCAAGCAGACCCAAGAAAACGAAGGCTTGAGCCAGTAGAGGAGAAATCTGAGAACCAGTCCAGGAATTCATCATGTCAGGCATCTTGAGAAGTAGAGATAAAGATGGGGTTGAAAACAGAAAGATTGGTTGAGAGTTTATTTTAAGAGCACTTGGCAACCCATCCACTCGTCTGCCCGCCTCTTCGTAGCCAGGCAGCAGCTCTCCCTTCGCCGCGGCTCCAGTCTGGAGGTCTGTTCTCTGAAAAGGGTAAAGCAGAGTCTCTGGTCTGAGGGACGCCAAACACACCTGAGGGTGAGGCTGCCAGTGTGAAAATAGTCTCTCTACGTACGGCAGCTCATGCCATTGTCTCCCCTCTTGATCTCCTAATCCTCGCAGCAAACCCCAATTATTAATATCCTCCGAGCAGGAGAATGGAAGATTCTCCTCTGGGGAATCTGGTCAGCTCAGATGAAGAGGCTTCAAGATACTGACGTGGAGGGTCCCAGTAAAACAATGCAGCCAGATCGCCCTGTGGTGAGGATCCAAGTTGACAAGTCCCTCCCAGGCACAGGAACTTCCAGCGAGATGTCTAGTGCAGCCGGGCATGGTGGCGCACAGCTGTAGTCCCAGCTACTCGGGAGGCTGAGGAAGGAGGATCATTTGAGCCCAGGAGCTGGAGGTTGCAGTGAGCTATGATGATGCCACTGCACTCTAGCCTGGACAATAGAGTGAGACCCTGTCTCAAAAAAAAAAAAAATCGTAGTGCCCCACTTTTAAATATGAGCAGATAGCCAAGGATCACCAGACCTCTGAGGAAAGCTTCTAATAGATACAGAGCTAAAGGCCAAAACAAACAAAAAGACAATATTTATGGAAAAACACATTGTAAAAAAAGATGATAACTTCAAAAAACTATCATTAATATCCCCAAAGAGATAAAACATGGATACAATTATCCATGAAATTAGAATAGGATGTTAATTTTAAAGAACACTCAGAGGAAAAAAGAGCCCTTAGAAATTAAAAATATGATAACAGAAGCAAAAATCTCAGCAGAAAGGCTGGAAGATAGCTGAGACACCCTCTCCCAAAGAAGAGAAAAGGACAAAGAAATGGAAAATAGAAGAAAACATAATATTTGGAAGATCTGTCCAAAAAAGACAATGATGGGTGCAAAGAAGAGGAAGTCAGATAAGGAACAATCAGGAAGTTTCCCCAGAACTGAGCACAGGTTTTAGACCAAACAGGCCCAGTAAGTGACACATAGGTGTCACTTTGTGAACATAAATTAATTCCTGGACAGAGGGAAAAGACCCACACCAAAACACACTGTTGTGAAATTCAGAGGCTATGACATAGAAGAGCCGTCCATGCTTCAAAGGAGAATATTGGGCTTCAGGAGCAGGAATCGAAATAGCATCGGACTTTTCAGGAACCACAATGAAAGCTAGAAGAAAACGGAGTAGTAATTTCAGAATTCTAGGAGGTAAAAATGACTTCAAGCCAAGAATTTTATACCCTGCTAAGCTATCAATCAAATGGGCTAGTGGAAAAGATGTGTTTTCAAATGTGCATATTTCGCAAAATTTATGAGACCTTTTCTGATAAAAACATGTCTCCAAGAAGATGAAGTTGATATAAAGCCTGATGTTTGAACATCTTGAAGAGGATATTTAGACAATTAAGGGAGAACTGGGGGCTGAATCAGTGACAGGTACATTAACAACAGCAACAACAAAAGGTCGTGTAAGAAAGGAAAAGTCATCATAATATATTATAATACTTGGCTCAGTGGAGTATGACATTTACTGCAGTGCCAATGCCATCAGCAGTGAATATTGATCTGAAATTACACTCATTTTTACAGTAGCTGGGAAGCGTTCATCCAAGCGGTGGGGTGGTGAGGAAGAGCTAAACTCCCATCCTTCATGGTGAGAGGGCAACAGATAATACCTAATGCTGAAAAATCAAGAAGTGGCAAGACAAGTGTCATTAGACCCACAGGCATTACAAGGGGCGGCATATGGGACCAGGATTCCTGTTCTACTCAACAGGTCCTAGAAACTATTGAACTTTTAAAAGTATGCACCTATATAATGTTGATCAAAAGTAAAACTGGGCTGGGTGCGGTGGTGCAAACCTGTAATCCCAGCACTTTGAGAGGCCGAGGCAGGAGGATTGTTTGAGGCCAGGAGTTCAAGATCAACCTGGGCAACAGAGCAAGACCCCATCTCAAAAAAAAAAAAAGTAAAATTAACACAAAAGAGAGAAGAAAATGGATATTAGACAACGGGGCTGGGCAGGGTGGAGGGGTGTGTTCCTCTACAGATGTCCACCAGAAAGACTCAATATGAGAGGGATGGGCTCAAGAGACAGCCGGGAGAGGGGACGGGAAAGAGGCAGGATCTGAACTCAGAGCCCCGTCAAAGCCTTAGACCAGGTCTGCCCAATAGACATATAATGGGAGCCACAAATGGGACCCACACAGGTCATTATACCTTTTCTAGTAGCCACATTTCAAGAGTACACAGGTGAAATGAGTCTTAATACTCAACCTCCTTTACTCCAATGTAGCCAACACACTATCGTTTTAATAATGTGCGCAATATTAAAATCATGAATGAGATGTTTAATATCCCTTCCTCACACTCAGTCTTGGGAATCCAGCATGTGGTTTGCACCTATGGCTTTTCTGAATTTGGACCGGCCATGCCTCACGGGCTCACGTGTGGCCAGTGCTGCCGTAGGTAGTTCTGTAGGTCCCCTCGCCCAAACTCCACCCCTTCCGCTAAAGAAAACAGGGAAGAGAAGCTGCTTCCCCACTGCCCGCAGGGAAACGACACGCTCCTCAGCCAGGCCCCCAAGGCACCCCACAGCTTATGTCCCAGCACTGCCTCCCTCTTCCCCTGTAGTCCCCATAAAGGGACCAGCTCCCTGGGCCACTTCCATTGCCCATGACAAGCCTTTCCACCCAGCCCATAGACACCTCCTCTGAGCAGCCTGCCTGGGTTCTCCCGGTCAGAACCAAGGTCGTCCCTCCTGCATCCTTGTACACTTACACATTGGCACTGCTATTTGGCGCTTTTAGTGTACATCATCCCATGTTATAGTTCCTTCCTCCCTTCACTCCATCATAGATTTTTTCTTTCCTTTTTTTAGAGACAGGATATATCACTCTATCTCCCAGGCTGGAGTGCAGTGGTATGATCACAGCTCACTGCACCCTCAAACTGCTGGGCTCAAGTAATGCTCCTGCCTCAGCCTCCCGAGTAGCTGGGATTAGAGTTGTGCATTGCCAGGCTTGGTTAAGTTTTTAATGTTTTTGTAGAGATGGGGTCTTGCTATGTTGTCCAGGCTGGTCTCCAACTCCTGGCCTGAAGCCATGCCACCTCAGCCTCTCAAAGTGCTGGTATTCCAGGCGTGAGCCACCGTGCCTGGTCTATCCTAGATACTGCAGAAGCTCTCACTCGGGGTCGATGGATAAGGGCGGCCTTGGGTCTGGCCAGGGAGACGCACAGCCCAAGACTCTGCACCCTAGGGAAGTGGGTGGCGCTGGGGTCTGGCGGAGAGGGCTCTGCTGGGGGCTTTCTGGATCGGGTGGGCTGCGGGCCATGAGCAGGGCCCCCTCTGGGGAGACGCACCAGGGGCCGCCCTGACCTCGCCCCCGACGCGCGCCCCGCAGGCCATCGCCAGCCACATGCACCTCAAATGCAAGTGCCACGGGCTGTCGGGCAGCTGCGAGGTGAAGACCTGCTGGTGGTCGCAGCCCGACTTCCGCGCCATCGGCGACTTCCTCAAGGACAAGTACGACAGCGCCTCGGAGATGGTGGTGGAGAAGCACCGCGAGTCCCGCGGCTGGGTGGAGACGCTGCGGCCGCGCTACACCTACTTCAAGGTGCCCACGGAGCGCGACCTGGTCTACTACGAGGCCTCGCCCAACTTCTGCGAGCCCAACGCCGAGACCGGCTCCTTCGGCACGCGCGGCCGCACCTGCAACGTGAGCTCGCACGGCATCGACGGCTGCGACCTGCTGTGCTGCGGCCGCGGCCACAACGCGCGCGCCGAGCAGCGCCGCGAGAAGTGCCGCTGCGTGTTCCACTGGTGCTGCTACGTGAGCTGCCAGGAGTGCACGCGCGTCTACGACGTGCACACCTGCAAGTAGGCGGCGGGGCTCCTCCCTGGACGGGCTCCCACGCGCAGGCGGCGTCTCCTCCCTTTGGGTGGGGCTCTGGGGGGGCAGGACTCCGGGGCGGGCTCCCCCTGAGGAGGGCGCTCCTGCCGACCGGCGTAGGGTTCTGGACGGGGGCGGGGCTCTGGGCCGGCCCTTTTCTAAGGGCGGGGCTCTTCTCTGGGGGTGGGACTTGAGGGGGCAGCCCTCCCGAGTGGGGCGTGGCTGCTGTCCCTCTCTTCCCCCCAACAAGGTCCCACCCACCCCCCTTTGCTTCGTAGAGGCGCGGGGGCCCATGGAGCATCATAAGGTCCCCCCGCCCCTCCCCATGCCTCTGGGATCCTGGGCCCCCTCTCTTCAAGCCCCTGCCTCTGGGGTGATCCAAGGGGTGGAGGCCTGCGCCACCCTCCCTCAGCCTGGGGTTTGCCCACCCTCCAGACCAGGAACCCTGCTGAGAAAAGCCTGCAGCTCCCTCCAGCCCCCAACCAGCCCCAAGGACACAGCTGGGTCCAGGGAGAAGGGGAGGGGGCTTCACAGAGGGAAGGAATCCTGGGCCCCTGCTGCTGAGGCCTGCCTCTGCCCGGCCGTCCACACCCAGGCCCTCTTCCCCCGGCGTGCTCCTGCTGCTCCCCAGGAACCAGCCGGTGACAGCTCTCTGCAGCTGCCCGGCCCCCCTTCCTTCCTGTCCTGGGGTCTCCCCACCTGCACCCCATCCCAGCTACAGGAGAGAGTGAAGCCTCCTGTCCAGTCCTTCCCCGGCCTCCGCCATCCCCAGCCCACAGCAAGGGAAAGGCGGGAAGAGGGGCCAGCCCCCAAGGCTGCCCAGAGCCACTAGCCTCGTTTCGGGGCTGTTTGGGAGCTCTGGGGCACACCAGCCCACACCGTGCTGCAGCTGGAGGACCCACAGCCCGGAGGCAAGGTGGTCTCCTTCCCAGCCCCTGTGGCCGGGAGTGACTCCCCAGGTCCTGCTGCTGGGGTGACAGTCACCAGACCTATGTCCCGTGGCCACTGTCCTGGAGCCTCTGGCTGGCCGCTGGGCCCTCCCCTCTGATTTGTCCCCCCAGCGTAGGAACGAGAGGCCCCTGGACCCATCGGGCTGATACCCGCGGGCCGCCCCCCACGCACCCCCGAGCCCCTGCCACTGTGAGCCACCTCCCACCCTTGAGGCCGCGGATGGAGACCTGGCCACGCGGGGCACCCCGAGAGCCTGGAAGAGGGGATACTGCAGGCCTCTGCCTCGAATTCTGCATTTTTTTGGTTTTAATTTTATTTCCGATGCTGCTATATCCACCATACACTGGAGTTAGATGAACAGATATTTTTTTCTTTTCTTTCTATGAAAGAAATTATTTTAGTCATAGCTTGTGAATTTCAAACAATGGGGAAAGTATAAAAAAAAAAAAAAGGAAGCAAACAAAAAACAAAACAAGCCTGTGGTCTGTGTGGATCTTTGGCGCTGGGTTGGCAGGGGGTTGAGGAAGTGGCGCGGTGAGCCCGGGCCCTGGCGGGGATGTCGTCTAAGTCACTTCCCGGAAAGCCCATATCACTCAGCTGACGTCCCAGCACCAGCTACAACGTGCCTGAACCCTCCGGGTTTGGGGACAGCAGCCTGGTGGCTGGTGGCCTCTAAGCGAAGGCTCAGCTGGATCCTTCCGGGACCTGGGGATGGGGCCCAGCCACCAGGAGCCCCTCTGAGACCCCCACCCGTGGGCAGGGCCCTCCTGGGGCTGTGGACCACAGGGCATGGGGGTGGCTCTGCCTGTGGGAGCCCCCACCTACCTTTCCGGGTGGCCCAGGGCATCACCCAGGCCAGGCAGAGAGAGCCCCTAGGACGAGCAGGCCACCGTCACTTGGGGTGCACCTCTGGAAACTGAGGCAACAGGAGCCAGAGGGCTCTTTCTCTCAAGGCCACACCACCCCCATCCAAACCCCAGCCGGGCTCTGTGCTCCTGCTCCGTGTCCCCACCCCTCGGCCCTGCCCTGCGCCCAGCCCCACCTCGCAAGGCCCAGGCCCTGCACAGCTGTACGCACAAGGCCCCTGCAGGAGAGCGGGAGGGCTGAGCCGCACTCCTGGGTGTCACTTGCTATGATTCTCCAATTCACCCCGGAACTGGGCCCCACACAGGGTGGAGGGAGGGAGGGAGCACAGCCATGCGTGGGGACAGGTGGGGGAGGGTCCAGCAGCCCTGGAGAGTGGGGAGTGGACACTGCCATCCTCTGCCTGGAACAGATGGGAACACAATCCCCGGGCCCCGAGAGCCGGCAGGACACGCGCTCTGGGCCTCTTGCTCCTTGCCTTTGTGGCGGGGGCCGCAGGGGAAGCCCTTACGCCCTCCTCCCCCTCAAACATCCACAGGTGGTCCTGGCCCCCCATGCCCCCCACCTGGGCCCCCACACTTGACCCATCCAGTCCCCAGCAGCCATGTGACCCCTCACTGACCAGAGGCTCCCACATGGGATAGCCAGGGAGGCAAGTCCCAGGCCGGGATGAGGGCCGGGGCATGGCCGTGGGGTGAGGGGCTGGTCCTGGGGAACGGGTGCCTCACCGGAGCCCCCCAGCTGCTCAATGACAGAGCTGGCTGGGGCCTGTCAGGGCCCAGGGGGAAGAAGGAACCAGGTCCAGGGCTCTGGACTTCCAGCGCCCCTCCCCGCCACTTCCCAAAACCGTGCATCAGCCTCCTTGCACCCCGAGGTCTGGGGGACACCCCAGTCTCACTCTCCAGCCCATGGCCTTCTTGGCTTGGGGACTTGGGGCCCGCTGCATCCCCGGTAGGGTCCGTTCCAGGGGCACTGCCCACTCTTCTGGGGCAGCAGGTGTCTGCTGGGCCTGGCCCTGACCCACCACCAGCAGGCAGGACGGAGGAACACCCAGGTAGGGCCTGGGGCTCGGCTGGGGCCAGACAGGCTGCCATCTACGCAGAGGGAGCAGGTGACTAAGGGCACAGAGCCCCATCAAGGACCAAGGACAGATGCCCATTCTCCCTGTGGGCGGGTGAGTCACCCAGTGGGTGGGGACCCCAAGCCCACTCAACCTACCAGGCTATCCTGGGCAATAGCCCTAAAGGGGCCAGTCCCTGGAGGAGTGACGGGTGCCCCACAGAAGCCCTTGTTCAGCCCTGTCCGATGGAGCAGGGGCACCAGCGCCTCTGAGTCAGGGCCCTGGGCAGGAGCCGCCCTAATTGGCACCTGTTGGGGCCCCGGTGCCAGGGGCACAAGAGATGAAAGACACGGACCGGACCAGCAGGCGGCCGGGCGGGCAGGAGGGGGTGTGGGCACAGCCACCAGCTCACAGGGACCTGGAAAGCCAGAGAGTGCAGTGGAGGTGAGATAGTGAAGAGGGCGGCCGGGCAGAGCTGGGCTTCAGGGAGGGGCCTGGCGGGTAGAGCCCTCGCAGGCACCCAGACACAGACGGGCCATCCCCGGTCAGGCACCCAGACACAGACGGGCCACCCCTGGTCAGGCACCCAGACACAAGACGGGCCACCCCCGGGTCGAGGCAGAGGCAGGGCCTGCCTGTCCTGTCCAGACACCTCTGAGCGGCAGGACTCCAGGCTCTGTCCGTGCCGCTGGGCCTGGAGAGGGGGCTGCTCTGGGCTGAGGACACACAGCGCGCCAGGGCCCGGGAAGCTCTGGCACCCGGGTGCAGGGCCCCGAGGCCCCTGCGGGCCCAGCGCGAGGGAGCACCGTGAAGGTGGTCTCAGCTGCCCCCATCCACGCCGCCGTGGCCTCCAAGACACCCGCAGTTATCTTGTATTCCTGTGGGATACCCCACAAGAAGAGGGCCCCAGTGGATGTGTCTCTGAGGAATGGGGGTGTCTGCAGCCCGCGGGGCCATAGGACAGACCCCAGGTTATAGGCGAGAAGGGGTGGGAGTCAAACCCTGGACTCGCTGCGGGTCAGGAGCGAGCCTGGCCCCTCCCGGCCTCAGCGTCCCTTCTGCGCAGAAGGAAGCGGGATGGGGGCGCCCGGGGCCTTTTCCGACCTGGGCTGCTTCAGCCGGCACCCCCGCTGGAGGCTGCCCCCTCACCTGCCGAGATTTGGGCAGCAGCACCTCCCCAGCCCGGCCCCACCCCCATCCCCCAGGTGGGGCCCTCAGAAGCGGAGTTTACAGCGGAGGAAATGGCCTGGGGGCCTGTTCGCAGGTAGTTGAGACAGGACAGGGAATAACCATATGAAAGGCCCGGAGGCTGCGGGGCCCCACCCCGCCAGGGCTCCCCACGGCCCGGCCCCTGCAAATCTCACCCTCTGGCTTTGAAGTCCTGGAGGCGGTGTGACCGGCCCCACCTTGGGCCCCCCCAGCAGCCCTCCCTCTCTGTGACACCCCCTCCCCTGGACCCCCACTTTCTGGGTCCTCCCCCCAGGGAGGAAGCCTCCGAGGCTGCTGTCATCCGGGCCCCCCCCCAGGATGCCTGGGGCCCTCCTGTGCTGGGACCAATGGCGGCAGGTGCGGAGCCGGCTCAGGTCCCCGCACAGCGGAGCCTGGGCTGGGCGCGCCCGCACGCCCCGCCAGCACTGGCCCTCACCCCTGCGCAGCCGTGGGACAGGGAGAGGACGCAGTGGTCAGAGCGGGGCTGAGAGGCCGGCGGAGCCCCCTGACCCGGCTCTGGCCCGTTGGCTCCCGGGGCTCAGCTGCAGTGAGAAGACTTGGCCCAAAATCTGAGCAAGGTCCAAGGCTTGGGGGCGCTGTCACAGCCTCCAGGGACCCACGGAGATGGAAGGAGCAGACAGGAGGGAACTCAGGGCTGTTCCTTCCTGGGGAGGTAACCTTCTAGAAGGTTATTGCTGGGGGGCGTGGGAGGCCTGGGGGCGCCCCTGAGGAGAGAGAGAAGCTGGGACTTGGGGGACCCCCTCCCTCCCAGACGCCCCCTCCAAGGACAAGGTGTTGCAGAGACGATGCTGGACCCAGCTTGCCGTCTGGGCTCCGGTTTGCCCCTCTGCATGTGGGGTCCAGTGTCCGAAAAGTTGTCAGACCCACCCCCGAGTCTTGGCAAGGCTGGCCTGCCCACAAGGATCCACCGAGAGAGTGCGCCTGGAGCCATCCTCCAGCCGGCCAGGCCGCCCGAGTTCTGGCCAGGTCCCTCTGGCCCTGACCCTG